CTGCTTACGTTATTTTCGCAAATATCATGATATAAATGTTGTATTAATTATAACAATTTCAATGTGGCCAATTTCCTTATGCCTGGTTACAATGGGAAAGGGCCAATGTGTAGTATTGAGGAGGATTTATTTGTAGAAATAAACTATTATTATGTTTTAATTTGAGCACAGACACCTAGAAGTAAGAATTGTGGCGTTTAAGTTAGCTCAAATTTAGCTCTTCATATCTACACAGGTAGTCGGCCATGTTGTAGTGCCATGTTTCTACAGTAGCCAAGGAAGAACAAAACCAAAAAATGGCTCTAGAGAGGGAATTTCATGTTTTTTTACATAAAGGTCTCGCTTGAATTTAGCATTTTAAAGTGTATGACAAGAAACACTGTATGACTTCATACACTTTCTTAGATAAAGGTACATTTGAACGTCAGAGACCACCTGATTTCCTCTGTGTGTTTGGGGTTATGTGGATGTATATAATAAGCATCCACCATGAGGCTTAAGGGTCAGCTGGGCCCATTAGCCTGTTTATAACCCTATGTAATGGCTATTTATTGGTTATTGCTAGCATAAGCCTTGCCTGGCAGCCACTCATTCACTTAGCAGCTGAACTCTTAAACTATGTGAAACTGAACACGACTTCAGTCACAGTGGTGAACTTTTTTGTGGATTGACATTTACATTAACACTTCAATACAAAAAAGCACAACTACAACAACTGAAAGCAAGTCAATTGAATTAAGTGTATACAGCACTGTGAAGCAGCGTGCATCTATTATCAAGCACTTTTCTAATGAATCGCCACATGCTGAGTTTTATCTCTTGAGTGCAGTATACTGGAGCGAGGGCTAATCTTTAAAAAGCCATTGATCCCTCTTTTAAAGAGCACTACTTTTTTGTCAATAAGCTTTGAGAGTTCACAAAAATATCTACTTCTGTCCTGATCCGGCCTTTTCGAAGAGCTAAACTGACAACCCAGCACTTCTTATTTCCAGGATTACAGTTGCTTTGAAGGAAGAATATCGGCAAGAAAAATAAATGCAGCCAAAACTCTGTCCTTTCATATCTCCTTCAATCTGCCGCTGTTTGCTAGATGCAATATCTAACACGATTTTTGCCAACTCGTATTAAATGAAACTCCAGCTTGAAACCAAGCCATGAATTATTTAGCTCGCAATTTACAAGATCTGCTTTATGATAAATATAAACCGATGCGTCAAGATGTACGACTATTTCTAATGTCCGGTATCAGATTCGGCATCACTGTGTGTTGACAAACAGTTTACTACAAGTGGTGAGGGGCTTTTTCCACATAAATGTCCAGGATAAAAGAGGACAGATGGTGCGAAAGACTTCCTTTCATATTCATTACACTGCAAAATGATGCACTGGCTATATTTATGGTCTGATATCACCTCCTTAAGCTTGATTTTACATGCCGAGAAGAGCATTGGAGTACAGTGACCTCCTCTCCAGGGAGGTTGAGAGGTGAAGACTAACGAGACAGGCATGCAAAGTTTCTCAAGGCCTTTTATATCGTCTTACATTGAAGAACAGGGGCCTGAAGCGTGAAAAAGTGACTTATAATGGACACAAAAATCAGAAAAACAAGACAAAGTGGGCCAAGGAAAAGACAACATTATCTACCAAGGGATTTTTCGAGACTGGTGTTCAACCTGACAGCAGAAAAGACGGAAAGAAAGCAGGAGATGAAGGCAGGGAGGGAGAGGAGCTGGAGCTGGACACGTTGAAATGTATTTTTAGGAAGATGTTTATTTGTAGGTCTGTGAAACCAACCCGGGGTGTATATCTACCAGCCTTGCCATCTCTCTCTCTCCCTCTCTGTCACCATCTGTTGAGGTCTCTCAGCCTGTCACTGTGCTCTGGCTCTATAGGTGGGAGACATTTTGCACTAACAGAACAAACCTGAAGATTAACTGCAAAGTAACAACTAAACATGCCTGGTAGATTGCTCTTTTCTACACTGTCATGTACCACAACAGTGCAGATTAGTCTTTATAAGATTAGGTTAGATAAAATGAGATTAGGTTAGATTAGAGTAGATTATCCCTAATGGTGGCACCAGCAAAGATTAAAAGGGTATGCATTGCTAGAAGCAGTAATATATCAGGGTGATTTTGAATTTAAAACATAATATCAGTCAGATTATTTTTACTGCTGACATTCGATCATGTGACAGATTAGATAATGGGCATGCAATTTATAATGAAACATAACAGAGAAGAGCAGCGAAGTTTAAAAAGTGCCTATTTACTTGCTTAAAGACTGTAAAAAAATACATATTGGCGTTACTATACCAGTACACAACATTACAAGAAACATGGGTGCAGTCACAATGTATTTTTACAACACTCACACACTGAAGACATTGTGGCAGGAAGTGACTGTATCTAAAGGTTTATCAAAATAAATGAGAACTCATATTGTTTCTACATATATTGTTAAAATTATCATATTTAAAATTGTTTTATTTTATAGCAAAAGATGAGTTGCACTATGTGTTTTGGATGAAGTCAAAGTTATAGCTTTTATTTTTATTTTGCCACCAGAAAATAACCTATAAAATGCACTGAAATGTCCTCAAAATAATGGTGAATGTTGTCAAATAACCGGTTAAGCATGTATTTCTCTCTGTTTGTGATTTTGGTGAAGTTATCATACATTTGAAGGCATAAAATGTAATTGGGCCTTGGGTGATTTATTCATGTCAGAAAGAGGAATACAGGAGATGGCAATAAAGTGTCGGAGTAACATTAGGTGTGTTGAGTTTCAGAAAAAAATGTTCTGTAATATCTTAACCATAATATCAGGGTAGAAATAGTAAGTATATTCAACTTATAAACGACAAGAAAGTATCTACCTGACAGGTATTTTCTTGAGCTCCTGGATTTCTGCAAGACGAGGATCAAAGATGGCGACCATGGCGAAACAAACATTGCTGTGCTGATAACTATCTTTCTAAACTGAAACTGGCTGGTATGGTAATTTATGTGTCAGAAAAACATCTGTACAGTTGATTTTGAAGTGTTTTAACCTTTGCAGGTGTTGTTTTTGTCCCAGTTTGCGGCTGCAGACGTCAGTTGACTTTTAGCTCAGACAGCTAATTAAACGCACCTGTCGAACTCATCCCGCACGCGGACGGGAATGGTAGTCGCCTAGGCAACTGACAATATCCGGCAAAAAAAGTATATTTATTTATTTATATATATTTTTTTATTTTACTTGTATTACCATTGTAAAAAAACAATAAGCGAAATCAATCAGTGACGTAAAAAATGATGACAATTTACTATATTTAGCTTTGGAAACATGTGACTAGGATACTGTTTATTCTATACATTTTATTATATTTTTGGAAAAACAGTAGGCTAGTCCCATTTTCCCAAAGACTAAAAATAGTATGATAGGAACATGGGTGTTTCTCGGAAACTACAAGGAGCTCTAGGTATTTGGTATCTATGAAATCATAAAACGTTTATTATGATGAAGTGTGATTTTGAAAGTTTAGTGTTTAGCTTCCCCAAAGTATGTCTGTAGCCTACCAGATTTTAAGTAGGCTAGTTAGACCTCTAAGAACAGATGTTGTGGCACTTTTCCTTATCATTCTAAATATAGTCTTTGGGCAAAATGGTTTAAATCCAAATGACAGAAGGTAAGTTTCTCTCCTTAATTCTCCAGGTTTGTTTAATGTTTTTTAAACACCCTGATTTACTTTTGTGTATTTTATAGCATAAGTTATTATTCAACTGAGGGGGAAAGGCTGGGGAGGGTGGGGGGTTATATTTAGACGGTCTTCGCAAGGCAATCGGGGGTAACTGAAAGACAACACTGAGAAAGTTCCACGGCCTAAAATATCTGCACACACAGCTCCCAGCAGGGCTGAAGTGCCAGGTGCGAGGACAGCAGATGCCCGGATTCATGTTGGGCTGTTTTAGACTTTACACAGTTAGGCCAGTGATTCGGAAACCAATACATTTGTCATGTTAAAATGCATAAAAAGTCACTCATTAATAGTGTGAGGGAATGGGTAAATCTGTGCGTATTACGCACGGCGGCACAAGCGCTCGGAGCCTCCAAATCCAAACGTACCTTTCTCTGCTGCTTCTCCCAGGCGGGGTCCAGCAGCAGGTCCCTGTCCCAGTCATCCTCTTGGGTCATGTACACGGTTTCATTGTTGATCGTGTAGGAGTTGCTGTATGTCATGTGGGATTCGACAGCTGTCATCATGCCGCCTTTGTTAGGACTTCACGTCCCCCTCACTTTATGAGAAAAAAATTAATCAGCAGTAGTCGACGCCGTGAGGGCAATAGCCACCTTGAGACGAGGGGTCTCGCTTTCGGGGGGTGAGACAGAGGTGCCGGTGCGGAGATGGTGCTCCCACTACCAGAAAACACTGCTGGCCTGGTGCTCCTTTCCTGGTCAAAAGTGGCACACGTGACCGCACCCCAATAAGTATGGGAACCAACAGCTTGGGTATCAGGTTCTGACCCTAAAATGGTTTAAAAGGCGGGGTAGTCTCCTGCGGGCAGGGGAACTGGCTCATGAGTGGTGGGGAGGGACGTCAATAACGCCCCCTCCCAGCAGAGAGGTTTTTATGGCCTCTGCAATGCACCTGTTGCTGTTAGTGACCCTCAATTGCAAACCCTGGCCTGTGTGGTTTTAGTCTACCTCTCCTAGAAAACAGCTTCAAAGAACTTAAAGTCTCAAAAAGATGAGTTCATGTTGCTAAAAAAAATTATTCTGGAGGTATCTCCTCTGAATTTAGCCCCCTGGCGCCTCAGGCAAATAGCTCTGGGCCTGCTTTATAATGCAACAACAGACTAAACCATCTTATTCCACAGGCTGCATGTAAATGAATTGTTTATACTGTTTATTTTCTATTATCAACCATACTACAAGGTGTTCAGTCTATGAAGGAACATCATGGTATTCTGTATTGCTTTTCTAAGTATATTCAATAAGAATAAAAGAGATCCAGACAATTTGTATGAGAAAAGAAAGGTTTTATTAATGCATGCACTGAAAAACGCCTCAAAACATTTTAAGAAATACAGATCAAAAGGCATATATATGCATACACAACCTTACAATATAATTTGTATTTATATCAGGATTTGTCATTCACAGTAAACATGTTGACTCATCTAACAGTCATCAACTTAAACACTCCCATCCCATTCAACATTGTGCTGGTACAAGATTTCTTAGAAATGGGCTAATAAAGATAGCTATCCTCTCTAGGCGACACATTATACCGTCAACCCTTGATGTGTCTTTGGAAACTAGGATGATGTAGATTATAATTAATCAGACTTTTAGATGTAACTACACTAGGCTTGGTCCATTAACCTACTTGAAGGATCTTAGCTACATGGGCCTTTTTGTAGTTACTGTGCTACTACAGGGTTGAAGGAATCGGATGAGTTGTAAACATAATGCTACTAAAAGCTAATATTGATAATAACATGGACCATGGAAATAGACAGCCTCTTACACAGGCAGGGGTTGGACAAAATAACGTGTACACCTTTCAATGTACTGCATTGCCGTCACACCCTGCAGCATTAAGAGTTTCCAATTATAATACCAAGTGTAGGCAGAAATGTAGTGAGCTTTGTAATAAATGCAGGGATTATATTGATTCCTATGTCAATCCCCTGTAGATGAGGTAATGGCTGAGGTATGACTACTGTTCTAAAGATAATATGAGCAGAGTCTGATACCTGTTATTCACATATGTGCTAGGAGAGCTAAAATATTCACATCGGTTAAACCTACAGAATCTCATGTTGCAAACTCAAAAAAAGGCAATAAGGTCTATGGGTTGTGCTCAGTGTGTTCCAGATGCACATCACAGCTGATACCTGCTGCAGGAGAACAGAGGGAACCTGTGGGATCCCATCAAAACAACACAGTACAGAGAAGTGCACATAGAGAGCATCTGTAGTTCTTCAGCTGTCCAAACCACAGACAGGAGGCGAGGGGGGGGGAGCGGGTGAGGAAGTGGAAGTAAGGGAGGAGGATGCTGCAGCGAGCTGTTGGCTGTCAGTACTGTGCGATTGTGAATTCAGAGCAGGGGGGGGGGGGGGGGGTTTAAAGAGATGCGTGGCTGCATTCACCCAAGCACGGGAAGCCCAGACTCGCAAGCACCCGGAGAGAAGCCTTTAGTGAGGATCTGGGAGGGGGGAGGATGAGGTGGAGGAAGAACACTGGAGCACCACAAGCCCTGCATGGTGATGGAGGCCTGGGTGGGAGTCAGCTTTTTAACTCCATATCATTTTAAATATGCATTCTCATTTCCAACTCATCCAATATGACTTGAGGCTATATGTACTCGTCTAGTTTAACACATGTGGATTTCTGCTTGTTACATGCTTTTTAATTAGTTTTTAAGACTGACTTATGCAACGTAACTTCTTGTTTAGGTGGCAACAAAAGTATTGGATTTAGCCAACGAAAAGATTGTGGTTTTCTCAAAAGAATTATGTTTATACCTGGAAAAAAGGTTAGTTTATTACGTAATTTTTCGTGGTCAAGTACATAAGTATACTAAAATAAGTCAATAATGATTGCTAGGGCTGTCCTTGTCTGAAGACATTTGTTTTCATTTGCTAATCTATTGGTTGATTCAATTGACATATCTGGACAAATCGACTAAGGAAATCTTCGTAAACCGTGACCTAAACCATCAATTACTTGACTAATTGATTAGTCCCTCCCACTGACTCTAAGCGGACTTTCCCCGCTCTTGTATGTTGCTTAACTGTCTAAATATGACTCCGATTGGTCTGAATTGGAGTCAGTAGAAAGCCTGGTGTATCTGATGGTAAAGGTTGCCTCTGTGTGTCAGTATCAGACGCTGAGGAGCACAGACAAAGCATTGGTATTGGATGAGTTGGCAGTGAGACCGGGTCAGTCATTCCTGACTAGAATCTAGTAATAAAATCGGAAAACCTTGAAGTCAAAGCTGTCTTACCAGTACACCTTTTCTTTAAACCTTTCCTGGATTCTGGCCAGTATATATATTATTGCAATCAACTATAGTCCTCCAATATCAGGAAGTTGAGGCTAAGGAGCTTCTTTTGACCTCCTTCCACTACCGACTCACCCTTTAATCAACTCATCTATTCATCCCTCTCCTCCTCCTTCTTCTTCCCTCTCCTTTGTATTTTAGGCAGACACAAGTCTACGCCCTCTTGACTCCATCTTGTAGCTGTCAGAGCAACTGCCGGACAACTCATTCAACATACTGAATTACTTTTGGGGGTCGTGAGTGTTAGGCTCTCAGTCGCAGGAACAATCTCAACAGGTAAAAACACATACAGAGCACATATCCAGCTGATCCAAGAATTAGAGGGATGAAGCTGCCGTACCAGAAAAGTCCTATAGGAACCCTGAGATTGAGAATCTACAGGTCAGACTGGCCTCATACCTAGGCCTATCTTATAGGATGTTTCTGATTAGGCACACAGGCTGTGAGGGACCCAAAGGTGAGAGAAACTGAGGATGTATCACTTTAGGTGAGTGGGAGCTATTGGGAGTTAAAGATCCCTTCCACAGCTGTGAGAAGCAAACCCAGCATTTCAAGCAAAGCGACTCGTCCAACAGTGAAGTCTCTCTGTGTGTCATGTAACTGAGTCCGGCGGGGGGGGGGGCCACCACACACACACACTGTCCAAGGGCACGCCCAGGCCTCTATGGTAACAAAGGAGGGTGGGAGGGTTGGGTCAGGTGGGTGGTTCTGGGAAGTTGAGTCCGAGCCAGAGCCACGAACCCAGATCCAAGGTGGCGACGGCGGTGGCGGCGGGAAAAAAAAAAGCGCTGTGTGTGTGAACGGCGGAGAGGAGAGGCGCATAGGGGACAGGAAGAGGGGGTGAGGAAAGGAAGGAGGGAGGGAGGGAAGGGGGTCGGGGTGAGGGCGGCGAATACGGCGGTGGAGAGGATTGACTAGCGGGCAGGGGAGGGGGAAGGGTTCGTCCGCATGTGCCAAGCCTCACCAATCAATAAAACCCACATGCACACATCCATTCTCACTGTTGTAAACTCTAATCATTTGTAATTTGTATTTTAAATATGATCCCTCAGTGGTGTAAAGTAACCAAGTGGATTTAATCAAGTACTATACTAACCTTAGATAATTGGTCTTTACTTCAGTATTTCAATTGTTTGCTACCGTGTAATTCTACTCTAACCTTTAGTTACTTTGGAGATTTGGATTATTGATATAATCAGCTCTTAAATCAGACTTTAGTTACACCTGGAGTAAATTCACAAGCTACCCTGCAGTATATACAGTCATTCAAACTAGCTGCACCTTTACCAGCTTTGAGAACACTTTAATGATCAATCATTATAAAACATATATATTATTCTGAAATGGACCAATCTTTTACTTTTGATACTTTAAGTACATTTTAATGCCAACACTTTTCTACTTTTACATGAGTAACATTTGCAATGCAGGATTTGTACCTGTAACAGAGTATACCTACACTCTGGTACTTCTACTTTCTACAAGATCTGAGTACTTCTGCATGCCCTTTATTTAATAGTGAATTTACTTTTGCTGTAACAATGTACATTTCCTCTCTGTGGGACAAATAAAGGAAGTACGATTTCTGAACACACACACACACTTTCACACTTCCCTTTATTCACTAGCTGGACAAAGGGCCATGATGCTAAGCAGGACTTCTGAAAGGGGTCCTAGCCTCACCCCGCCACCCCCCACCGATGACCCTGCCATTGCAGCAGAGGAGGATGAGTTACGGATTGGGAGGAAGGGGGAAGTGGTGATGGCGGAGGAGAGGAGGGTGAGGAAGTGTTTGGTCAAGGCACAGTCAAAGGAAGGGGCGGCAGGTGGGGGTAGAGGAGAGGTCAGTGCTTTAGAATTTTGGTTTCGTTTTTTTTGTTGTTGGTCATTTACCTTGGTGGTGAGGAGAGAGCGAACAAGTTCCCACTGCGGTGGCGTCGCACTAAAAGTCGTCCCCATGGCTCACGCCGCCACGCTCACACAGGTTTGCACGCTGGCCGCTCCACGTGGGCCGGTGACCTAATTCAGTTGAGATAGTTAGTTCAGAGCTGGACTTTCGCGGCGCTTTTAATTTCTTTCTTTTTTTGTTTGTTGATGTTGCGGCAGAGTTACAGATTATCACACATGCAGGTCTGAGAGTAGAGTGTACACAAGAGACACACGGAGGGGGGGAGAATTTGGTGCAGCAAGGAAGACACCAGACCAGACGCAAACACCCATCAACCCCAGAATCTGCTCCACAGATCAAAATGCACCCAGGCCATTCTATCTGTGTGCCTCTCCCCAGCGCTCAACCGTGTGCTGAATTGATGAAAAATCAATTTAAAGCCAGAATTAAATTGGTCAAAGCAAACCCCTTTTCGTTTAAAATGTAGTTTGCACCCATTTTGAGAGGCTGGAGAGAGAAAGGAGCACCAACCCGCACTTACCCTGACCAAAGAAAGCAAAGCTGGGCCAGCATCTACACCTGAGTCCCCCCGGGGTCCCCAGTCAAATGGGTCTGGTGGTCATTTTACACAAGAAAAAACAGATAGTGGAGAAAAACAACGTAAACAAGAAGGGGAAATGTCCAAACCCTTTGCTTTCTTTTACCACAGTAGTCAGCCAAACATTCTTTATTATAATAATGATTATAGTATACATATTCTCAATAAAAAGCATGCCGATTTTTTATCTTTGTCGTCTTTTACTATAAAAAAAAAGGCAAAATTAAAATACTTCTCTAAAAAAAAATACGGTCTCAAACATGGCAAACAAGACATTTCGCAAACCACATAATTCTACAAAGGATGCAACTGGTATGTGTTTGTATATACAACACGGAAAGATTACACTGTGAGATGCAAAAAGTCACTTAACCACTAAAAACCACAGGGGTAGAGGGGAGGGGGGGGGGGGAGAACAGCGAGGCAGTAAGGTGATTCAGAGGGGATGTCTGTGTGTGCATCAGACCGCGGCAAATAGTAGTCGCAAAAAAGTGATTGTTTTAAGTGACTGTAGATCCAAAATGGGTGGGGTTCGCCCCTCGGGACAAGCTTGAGAATGCATAAAAAGGTATTTGCAAGTCAAGCTGTTGTTCCTGAGGCAGCAAACCCCACCTACCAGATCCAATAACTGGTTTAAAACAGGCACCACAATTTTTTTGCAATGACAATCTGCAGCAGGTCTGTTTTTTTGGAAAAAAGTAGGACAGTGGGGGCAACTGGAAGACACTTCCCCCATCTCTCACGACATTGGTGCTATCACTGTTGTTCCTGCTTAAAACCAGTGGCTGATAATGAACCTGTGAGGCTCAGATTGTGGCTTTTTAAAAACCCTTATGATATGAAAGAAATCATATACAGGAGTCCTAAAGCTTGTAGCCTTGTGAGCTCCATTTACCCCCCCCCCCCCCCCCCCCCCCATGAAATGATTAAAAAGCACTTAAAAAATAAGAGATCCCTCCATTTAATGCACTCAAAGCTTATAGGCACATAAGTGAGCTTGTCACATATCATGATTCCTATCAGAAGAGATCCTTTGTAAACAGCTCATTCAGAAGTCAGGTGTTTTTTCCATTTACAATTCATTACACCCCATGTTGACTTAAAAACATGTAAAACTACACAAAAACATACACTATGTATTTAAAAAAAGGCCTCTGGACACGTAGGAGGACTCAAAACTGAATATCTACAAAAGTCCCGCCCTCCCTTATCTGCTGACCCTGTGCCTTTATCGTGGAGCAGGAAGTAAAAATGCTGACTGGGTGAAAAGTGTGGAATATAATAGACTGCACTGAAATTCATTGTGAGAGGTAGGCAGCTGTAGTTAGAGAGAGGTGAGGCAGTGTCTTCCAGTGTGGTAGTTAGAGCACAGGTGGGGGAAAAGGGGTCGAGGAGAGATCCAAACATACATTACAGTACGTATTATGTGTGCTTTACTTTGTTTTTACTGCAAGGCGCAGTCTAAGCTGCTGCGTTTGTGCGCTGCAAGGTCAGGAGCCCGCACCAATCTCTCTTTCACACCACATCCACATCACATTCAAGACAAACACCCCTTCCCCGCATAACACGTCAACCTTGGTTCTCTTGGACACAATGCAATGCAACCAGAACACAATATGTGTTTCACTGACTCCCCATCTGCATTACAATTTATAAACTCTCCAACATAAGGCAAAAAAGGTTTCAAATTAGCTGCCCTGACTGATCATCTAGGCCGCAGGAGGATGGCTGATAAAAATGTATTTTATCGTAGATTTGGCCATAGAAAAATCATAACTGGGTTGCGGAAATAAAGGCATATGAAACGACCGACTGGGTCAGTCTGATACTGGCACAAGTGTGAGACTGGCACGATAAAAAAGTAAAACGGAGACGCACAAAGAATGCCCGTACCAAAGAGGAGAGCCTCCCTTTCATGGCTGCACTGTGTGTATGCAAACAGGACCAAGGTTAGTCCCTCGTAAAGCAGGTTAATAAACCCAGGAGCCCCCAGTTTCAAAGCCCACCCCACACACTTAATCTCCCAGACTCACACACACACACTCACACACATACAGCTGCTGTAAGGTGGCCAAGTTTGGGGAGCAGGAAGAGGGTTCGGGGCAAAGAGGGAGGGGTGAGGGCAGAGAGTTGTGTGCGACTATCGGAAGGGGGGCTCAGGCGTGTGAAGGGAGAGTTCGGGGCGGCGGAGGATGGCCTCCTTGCGCGTGGGCGGCGGCAACGGCGGCTCATACACCCTTGGCGCAGCCATGGCGGCTGCCATTGCCGAAGCTGAGGGGACCACTGGCCTGAGGGACTCCAGCGCAGCCACCGACTGGGCCGACATCGCCGTGACGCCAGGCATCCCCGACATCCCCGACATCCCCGACATCCCCTGCATCCCCTGCATCCCCTGCATCCCCTGTATGCCCTGCATGCCCTGCATCGCCTGCATCGCCTGCATGCCCTGCATCCCCTGCATGCTTTGGAGGGCGGCCATGGCGCCCGGCGGAGGGTAGGCGTACTGGAACTGAGGATACTGCTGCAACTGCTGGTAGTACTCGGCATAGTACCTACGAGAGGAGGAGGGGGATACAGAGGGACGGTGGGGAGAGCAGGGTTTAGGTGGGAAGAGGGACAGGATGAACGACACAGTGGAAGCAACAAGAGTGACAAAGCGGAAATAGCGGAAAAAGAAGACGGGAAATCCAGCATTAATCAAACAATAGATATGTGCCTGCAAGACCATGAAAGCACGACTAATAAAAGTGGACTCCTAGAGGTTGAACAGTATAGTAATAGTGTAACATCTCAGCTCTCTGGGAATGCTTTAGAGGTTGAAAGGTGATGTCCTACCTGGCCATGGGGTCCTCTGCAGCCTCGGCTGCCTCTTCTGCCGCTCGGCCAGCGGGCGTGGGGAGGAGGGGTCGCCGCGGCTTGGCTCTCTGGTAAATGAACGGCTTCATCACAGGGTCTGGTAGCAGAGACCTCCGTAGCGGACTGCGATCCCGCTCTCCCTTTGCTGCTGCAGCAGCCGCGGCGGCTGCCACCTGCTGCTGGTCGGCCATCACCTGCTGGCCCTGGGCGAAGTAGTGTGCCTGCCTGGCTGCCTCAAAGATGGCTGTTGGGTCCTGTAGGGCGCTGATGTGAGCGTAGGCTTGCCCAGCGCCACCGTAAATTGCTGGAGATACAGTGTAGCCGGGGTTGACCCCGCCCGCTGAGGACATATCTAATCCATGAGCAGCAGTCAGATAGACGTGGGAGTTGGCCATGCTGGGGGTGTAAACTTGAGGTGAGTAACCGGCGGCGGCAGCAGCAACAGCCGCAGGACTCGCTGTCATCTGGCCGTAGATGTTGGGATTCATGGAGCTGTACATTTGGGTGGCGCCTGATTGTAGAGCTGCCTGATTGGCCACCTGTCCATAAAGCTGACTGGCGACATTGGCACCATACACCTGGCTGGCGAGGGCCCCGTACACAGCTGGGTTCACTGGGTTTCCATCGGTGCGTGTGCCAGTGGTGATCCCAGTGAGAGCAGCGTATGTGGGGTCAAAGGTGGAGGTGTTGTAGACTGAATTGTGCACGCTCTGCTGGACCTGCAGAGGCAGGCCGGCGGCGGCAGCAGCGGCGGCAGCCAGGACGGCCGCCTGACTCTGGTACTGCTCCAGAGAGGGCTTCCCCACGGGACACTCTCCAGCATAGTGGCCCTGCTTCCCACAGTTCACACAGGGGATCTTTCCTGTCGGGGCCTGCTTGCTGGGCTGGACCTTGGACAGCTCCACGGACAGCGGGCGGCCCTTAAACGAGGTGCCGTGCAGGGCCTCGATGGCCTGGAGCGCGTCTTCCTTGTTTTCCATGTGGACAAAGGCATAGCCTGCGGAAGAGGAATGCCTGGCTGTCATTGAGCGCAGGGACAACAGTTAGGATCGAAGTGGCATTGCCACGGGCACTTACTTATTACTTCTACGAAGAAATGTGAATTACGCCAACCGGAAACCACCTTATCCATCTCTACAACAGGGATGCAGGAGTTTTTGCACACTTTGACATGGTCAGACTTACAGCAGGACTCTAAATCTCTCTCTTTTTTACATTATTTTATATTGTGTATTCTTGTGATGTATGTCTTTTCTACTGTAGATATTTATATATTTGCTGTTCATGTTTATACTTTATTCCAGCTTTTAAATATTTTAATGCCTGAACACAATGCGCTGTAACAAAATCATTTCCAATTTTTGATTAATTGAGTATTTATCTATCTTTCCATCTCATTAACTTTATAAATAAATATATACACAGATATAATCTCTTATCTGCCCTGTGTTATTTCCTCCCATTTTTCTTACACCTAACCCAACTTGAGAGATGCTACTGGCAGTACTTGAAAACTAATGAAATGTTACAAGGGTCTTCGCTCACCTTTAACTTTATCACACTCCAGAACTTTTCCAAACGTCTGGAACAGCTGCTGGAGATCCTCCGTGGTGCACATCCCGCTCAGATTACCCACAAACACCTTGGTGGAGTGTAACGGCCGTCCTCTCGACTCCTCCACAACCAAATTGCGTCCGCGAAACTCCCGGCCATTGAGCTCCCGGATGGCTCTGTCGGCGGAGCCCTCGCCCTGCAGGTGGACGAAGGCGAACTGTCGCAGTACGCTGCAGCTGACCACCTGGCCGTACGGTTCAAAGATGGCCGACAGCTCCTCCTGGGTGGTGTCCAACGCCAGGTTGCCCACGAAGAGCTTCACTGTGTTGCTCTTGTCCATGGCGCTGCAGAGGAACAAAGAGGGAGGACTGTGGTTAGAGATAACAGATAGGATTATTTAACACCAGGGGTGGAAGAAGTACTCAGATCTTGTACTTAAAGGTGGGGTAGGTAAGTTTGAGAAACCGGCTCGAGATACACTTTTTGTTATATTCCATGGAATGCTCTTAACATCCCGATAGCAATGAATATCTTAAGTGCTTTGACAAAAAATCCATAAAAAAATGTCATCTGTGGAAGCCGTAGTACTCTAAAAAGCACGACCATGGCCTACCTGCCTGTCAGCCTTCCATCTGTGCACAAACTTATCTCGTGCCCTCATTGGTCATGTGCGCGTTCGTGTGTGTTGGAGGAGGGGCTCTGTAAGGAAGTGGCAGATTTTTTCCGGGTGTGTATTTTCAAATTCTAGCGCACTCGAGCTGATTTCTCCAAAATTACCTACCCCACCTTTAAGTAAAAGTAGAAGTACCAGAGTGTAGGAATACTCTGTTACGAGTAAAAGTCCTGCATTGAAAATCCTAATTCAGTAAAAGTACAAAATGATCGGCATCATAATATACTTAAGTACCAAAATCACTCGTTATGCGTAATGGCTCATTCCATAATTCTACATTAAATTACTCATTGTGTCTATAACAGCTGGTAAAGGTGTTTTTAACTACTTTATATACGGCTGCTGGATATCTACACCTATAATTATATGTAAAGTATATTAAATAATTGACGTTCTATTGAGCTAATGTGAATCTGTAAAGTAACTAAATCTGTATAAGTAAAAAGTACAATATTGGCTTCTAAATTGTAGTGGAATAGAAGGATTAAGTAGCATAAAATGGAAATGCTCAAGTAAAGTACCTACAAAAAATTGACTTGAGTAAATGTACTTAGTTACTTCCCCCCTCTGCCTAACACTATACATTGAGCAAGAACAAAGCCACACCTATGGCTCAGTCTGAGGAGGAGATGGAAGTACAGGGGTGCAATTATCTAAATACAAGCGGGGGGGTTCGGCTGCACACAGGGAAATAGCTGACCCAGCTTTTTCGGTTTTTTTCAGGGCTCATTATTCAGAGATAAAGCTGAAGGTGCAAAGAGTAAGCGCTAACTATTGCAGCGATTTAGTTGGAGGATAAGGAAGCTCTGTGCATGAATGAGCAGCCAGATTTCAAAATATTGCAAATTAAAAACCACACGGACCTCACATTTGCGTGGGAGCCGGCCAAAAAGTCAAACTAGGTAAACACAGACGAGGAAGCAAGGGATACACATTGTCTGTAGATAAAAGGTTGATCATTTCCATAATTATCGTTGAGCAAAGGCAGTTTAAAAGAGGATCTCATTGCAGATTGAGAAAGGTGTAATTACCAGAACTGCTATGATACACAGGAGACACCCAGGGAAAAGGAGCATTTTACAGTAATACCCTTAATTAACATGGCATTTATAGTGATGATCTTTGGGGGTTTGTGGAACAGAAAGGACCCTCTCACTGCTTCTAAAATGTCAAACTAAGGAGTGTTTCTACAGGTTGGACAACACCTTCTTTACCTCCTCCAGAACAACCTTTATGGCAGGCTGTAAATCAAAGGGCAAAGACGAACATGACACCAGAGAATGACATTTCTATTTTTTGGTGTAGGCTCCAGTCAGCTGCTGGGTGAACTACACCTACTGTACAGCTGCTGCTTACGGAACATCTAAAGCACGTTTTCTATACTGTAGTGTTACATATGGCTGCTGCATTAACACTGGGTTCATGGGAGGAATAACAAGGGGGGAAGCTGCTTTTCTGATGACGCAGCACGACGCTGAGTCAACACATTCTCACACTAGGGTTTTTTAAAAAGCGAGAAAAACAAAAAAAAATGCGAAAAACGACAAGTTAAGTTGGTTAAACACAGCCTAAATGTATTGTCCATGTGGATAACGTGAATGGTGACACATAATGCGTAATGGCTATCCAGATAAACACACTATAAAAGGCAAAAACAAGCATTAACACACACACATTTACTCTGAAAATACGCAACAATGTTAAACACATAACACCTGATACAACTGGCTCTCAATAAGCAAGCACATTTTTTTCCGCACAGGAATGGATACAGTGCAACACCGAGAGATTCCGTGCAACAACACGCACTACAATGGTCGTCTTATCTTTAACATACCCGGCACAAACACCCGCGCATAAAGACAAATCGGGTTTATTAAGCTCCCATGCGGATCAGATAGAGAGAGTAAATACTGCAAGAAAAGAGGAGATTAAATAAAAGGATCTACCATCTTACCTAGGCGGTGCTGTGTTTCAAAATGGTAGCGCCTGCTTCCGTTTGCATGTCGGGCATTCTGCTGGAGAGGAGGGGGAGGGCTGCTGCTGCACCAGAGGATGCTCAATACCAGTAATAACACACAATACACAAAGTACATACAGGCACAGTACACAGACAGTATGAAGCCGGAGGTGGATGAAGTACTCAGATCTTGTACTTAAGTAAAGGACCACCACACACACATTGACTGGTATACCCCTGATGTGCAATAACCCTGCCTGTTAATATTAAACTATGTGCAATAGACCTTCAATATACCTTTCTCTCAATTTATTTACAACCATACTTTATTTTATGAACATACTGCTACTTTTTTTTTTACAATGATTTATGTTTTTTTACGTACAGTGTGTTTTTTTATTATTATTAATAATGTGTGCATACTTAGTTTTTTAAATATGTAAGTCTATTCTCTTTTCTTTATCTGCAGTTCACTTCTGCTGTTTTAATAATGTACTTTTCTCCTTTTCGGGAAAAGTATAAGAAGTAGAAGTACTTATTCATATTGGCCCATTTCAGAATATATTATATATTTTATTCAGATGCTGGTTCCTACAGTGAGAACAAAACTGGGTAAAACAGCTTTTAAATATGCTGCCCCCACAACTTGGAATAATGTTCAGAAGGAGCTGAAACTCTCAGATTGAATCACTATGGGGGAATTCAGGACACCATTGGTAGATGTGAGTGCTCGTATATATCCTAAAATCGTTTTAAATGTTGCCAGTTTTGAATGATTTTTAATAGTTTGTTTTACTTCGCATATTGATTGGCTAATGTGCCATTTTATTTAGTTTATCTGTTGTAACTTCGTACATGCTGCCCTTCTTGGCCAGGTCACTCTTGGAAAAGAGATTTTAATCTCAATGAGTCTTTTACCTGGTTAAATAAAGGATATATATTGAAATATAAAGTCCCTCAAAGTTGTACTGTACTTGAGTAATGTCCTTAGTTACTTTACACCACTGTATAAAGCTGTTTTAATCATCAAAAGCCACAAGAAGAACAAGGGCGGCCTTTATAGCCACAGGGGGTCAGCTCCAAAGGGAGTTTAATCAAAGAGCTAATTTATCTGCTATGAAAGATATATATCACATTTGCTTAAGAGGACAGATCAAGTGTGAAATGACTGCTAATGACACACAGCTTCAAGCAGGAAATGAGTCAGCAAAAAAACAACACATTCACTTGTTTTAGCTTCTTAAATGTTCCAGTTCTTCTGATTTATATCACTTTCTTTGATTAAAAGTTGAAGAAAAAACAGAATTTTAAAGAAAATAACACATTTCCACCATTTCCCAAAACGTATAGATTCAATTATTAATTGAAAATACACCAGGCGTGAATCGATAATTTGAACAAACATCGATTGTACATTCAAGTTGTGTTCGCAGCCCTCAGACACAGATGGAAAAAGACACCAACGAGTGGACATTTGGGGGAAAATTCAATAAGCCTATTCATGCACCAACAGGACAAGACAGATGCTCAATTTGCTAGAAAATCAATGCAAAACTGGCTACACACTCTCATATGGACAAAAGATTGCACACACACACTGTGCCAATATTGATGTCTTCATCAAGAGTTAACAGAAATCAACAAGTGGCCAGAGGTAGAGGTTTTACGTTATTATATTATACTTCAATCATCAAGACAATACAGCGGTTGATTCAAAGCCGATTTACAGTTTTTCTGTAAGGTTCTAAGGTAATTGTACACTCAGTCTCCATGTTGTGAAGACAGCTGAGGGAACAGTCCTTCAAGGAAGCCCCCCCCCCAAACTTTAACCCCCCCTCGGCCTTTCACTCTCGGTGGAATTTGACTCTCTCTCTCGAGCTCTTTTAAATCTCTCTTAGCCAAGTCACTCACACCACCTTATGGATTAAAGATGAACACACCAATGGTGGACAAAAGTGAGGTCCAAATTCAGCTAACGGCGATACAGATTTCCACATTATTTACGTCTATCACACTCTTATTGTGACCCTTCATAGATGGATTTCTTTAAGATATCACATTGGGATCATCCATGTCTGGACATGTGAATCCATAACTTTGGGATTGTGAATGTTTAGGCTACAACTACTACCAGGAGTGCCCATCATTTGATGTTTCCATCAATTGTCCCTACATTTTAGGTTTCTATTTGGACTTTTCTGTAGCCTTTCTGGGTATTTTTTCAATGCATTCTCAATAAAAACACTAGGTTACTTAGGTTGAGAAAGTCTACATGACAGTGAATATACTAAATATTAGCATGACACCGCTTTGTAATCCTATTTGTGTGTTGATTTTCCTCTTAATAGTTACTCATACTGTTTTTAAGAGGCGTCTATAATTAACCTAGACATTTTTAATGCCAGACTACAGCGCATTCATCCCAGCCAATACATCAAATGAGACAGTGATGTGACAAGTGTGTCAGAGGGGACTGGTTATACAAACATATTAACTGAAATCTAGCTAATCAAAGGTGACTTTCACAAAGTCCCATGTGGATTTAATCCGCTTTAGAATCCTCAGAGGACACAGACTGCAAGAGGATTTGATTTTGACACAAAGAAAGAAATCATGAAACTAAGGCTTTTTATCTTTGGTCGTCCGTCCAGCTGTGTGTAAACGTTTTCCTAAGTACTCTTTGTTTTCCTCGCTTCAGCTTTGACCCTCTGTCAGCAAATGTCCTCTGCATTTCTCTCCGATGTGCCCTTAACTGTCCACAGGTTAGAGATATGATTGGTGTTTGTGTCTCAGGTTCAGAGGTGTGCAGCGGGGGTCTCTGTGCTGGCTTTGCTCCGGCCTTTCCCTGCAATGGGCCGGTCTCTCTCCTCCCACAGCGTGACCCCGTCACACGCACAAATCTGTTTTGCATTTTGGAAAAGACCTGCTGATCGGGCGATGATCCCACAGGCCAGTCTGCAGAGGAGAGACATAGAGAGAGTTTAAAACAATTTTAAAACCTGCTTCAAAAGGCCAGCAATGACTTAAATACAGCTTTAAAGAATGCTTATCAATAATTAATAATAATTAGTCCCAACCTTGAAGCTAGTAGTTTAACAAAGCTATCCAATTGTGTTCAATTGAAATGCAGTTAGTACAAACTACCTTTCTTTAAATAATTAACTAAATTAAGTTTAAAGAAGCACGATTTAAAAAAAATTGTATCTAGTGCAAAAACAGACTTATAACAATTTATACGGTTGAAGAGGAGTCCTTCAAATGCTTTAAGGAGCAAGTGCCCAGCCGAGGCTACTCCCCCCCCTTCACATAATTGTGTGCACCACCATGTGAAACCCCTGCTTTTGACCCACCTTTCCCCAGAGTTCCCGGTCTGTTTGGAGAGAGGGTGATCGCCCCGACCCAGGTCGTCCTCCCCCGCATCGACCACCAGCGACCGGCCAATCACATCCCACACCTGCAGCCAGCACCAAGGTATCACAGAAGAAGAGATTAAAAATATGTCATCTGGTGTTGTTTAATGTGGATTTATGACAGGCTTAAGATGTTTTTAATAAAGCTTATAGTTAGGGCTGGCTCAGGCTTACATTAACCCAGCCCTTAGCAGCATAACTAAGTGCGAGACTTTCACCTTTGATTGTTCTCCTCTCTTTTCCTATTTTTCTCTCCATCAATCTCTATATGTTCATGTTCCATAAATGCCTGTTACTAACTCAGCATCCTGGGCATCCTGATTTTATTTTGATGGGTTTCTTTGCAAGCTTTTCCCTGTGCGCTGTGAGGGTCCAAGCGCAAAGGTAAACATATGCTGTGTAGACTGTGAACCCCTAAAACAGACATTTAATTTATATTTGGCTATATAAATAAAATGTGACATCTTTGATTCCTAAAGCCCAATATACTGTAGTTACAAGCCTTCATACAAGTGCAAAATGTATGTGTGTGTGTGTGTGCGTGCGTGCGTGCGTGCGTGCAGGTTACCTTTATCTGACTGTCCTCTTGTCTAAATGAAGCCCTGCCATCTGGTCCTGCGACAATATTTCCCAGATCACCGACATGCTGCGCGACAACGACACACATTGAATAAATAACACAAGGAGTACACAGCATGTGCGCCAGGGAACACTGCGGCAAACTTGTAGCTCTGTCACACATCTAATAGACAATTTAGCACCCGAACTGCTCACAATGGCTCCTGTGGGACATATTTGGCGAGTATCACATCATTTATTTGGCTTGTGTTGACATTTTATTGAATCCCAGGAGTGATTTTGTCAGAATTTATGGAGAAGAAGACCAATTATTAACTTACTTCTTTTATAAATGTTCTGATAGAAAATGATCTACACAGCATGGGGCAAGTAGTCTCCAAAAAAGATTAAAATGAACAAGCAGAAAGTTATTTTTATAGAGTTATAAGAGAAATATATGGATGTACCCTTTCAGAATCCCCTGGACCGCCGTGTTGTCTTCCAAAGGGGTTATAGTGCTCTCCACAACTATAAAAACAGAAATGAATTACATTTAATTAAATATAAGTTAACAAAACTAGTTTGCAGTGCAATTTCTTGTGTGCATTAGCTGTCAATGTCTCGATTGCTGTCGATTGTCCATCACTAACAATGACAAGACACTTCAAAATGGATCATTCTTCAAATCTGTATTTTAACCACACAAAAAACTCCAACAAAAACTATAAAACTTGAGTTAGTTGTAGTGTTTGTGTTCTTGTGTGACTACGGTTCTTCAGAGGGTTATTCTGGACACACTAAAGTCACATGAAAACACAACAAACGCAAAAACTAATCCAGGCAGCTGTATATGGTAACTCTCGTGTTGTGTGAGGTAAAATTACTGTTGTTTTCTCAATGGAGTCTGGCGGCTATAGAGAGAGCACAGATAACAACTTCAGTTTCTCGTTGCAAAGGGCTGTGTTGGGGAGATAAGGCACACAGGAAAAAGAAATGTCTACCATCAGAGGGTCGGTGGTTCTATCCCAAGACAGTCAATATGTTGGAAGTGGCAATATACTTAACCCCAAATCACTCCTGTAGCAATGTCTACGGTAAGTGTGTGTAAGTCCCTTTGGATAAAAGCATCAGCTTTGTACCATGTAATGTAGTGTAAAATAATATTCTAAATATATAGGAAACATTAACTCATACATTTCTATCAAAATGTCTAAAATGGTTTTTTGCTGCCTCTGTCCACAGTCGCTCATTGCTTTGCTTCCTTGCTCTGACTCCTGTCTGCTTCTCCAAAATGGGGGCGTATGTGTTACACTGACTACGGATAAGTACCTCATACAGTGCCACTCTAAAACACTCACACTATCCCCTTTAACCGGAGCAGCCTGTTCACCCACTCCCTGTTACCTGAGGCAGTCCTGGGTCAGGTCCCCCAGGGTGTGGACGTGGAGGCCGTGGGGTCCGGGCTCCAGCCCATCAATGGTCCCATCGATCAGGCACCGCTGCTCCGACAGCTGAAGGAAGCGCACCACCCCCTGGATTCTCCCCACGCCCGCCAGCATGGCCACCGCTGAACCCAGGTCTGTCAGGAAAACACAGACGTAATGAACAATTTGCACGATTAAAAAAAGTACTTTATAATCCAATTTTAAACTTAGCAATTGTAATAAACATGTTATATATTGTGGTACAACGAGCACATTTTTACTTTGACTTTTTACTTTGACTTCCTATATTTGTTATACATTATTTTATTTGATCTTTTATTGCACTTTTTACTTCTTGTGTTTATATAAATGTTTTCAATTCTATATATTTTTTTATTATCTTTTATTGGACATTTTACCTTATGTTATGTACCTCTGAGGGTTTTAGAGACCCAGACTGAGGGATTTTGGCTATAAAACACAGATGAAAACAATACTGGTTTTAGCTTGTTAGACCTCAAAGATGCACACAATGGGTTTTGATGAGACCAAACAAAAGTACTGTGCAAAGCGGCTCAGGAAGAAATCCCTCCGGATTATAAAAGACCCCCCATCACCCCAGCCACAAACTGTTCTGTCTGCTGCCGTCTGGTAGGCGTTACCGCAGCATCCGGACTAAAACCACCAGATTCAGAGACAGTTTCATACCACAAGCAATAAGACTGTTAAACAACTGAACTGCTGAAACAACATCTGTTAAACACCTGAACTGTTGAAACAACATCCATAACATTCATCTGCTACTTAGTAATTATTTATCTATTTCTCTAATATATCATTTCAATAACTTGCATATAGACTCTTATTGCACTATTTCACCATTTCACTTTTTTAAACTATTTTTATTTTTGTATTTACTATTTACTTGCACTATATTTTTCTGTTTATCTGTGTTATTGTGTTGCACTGTTGAAGAAGCCTGTGACCCAAGATTTTCATCGGCATAACTACACTGTAGCTATGTTCGTATGACAAAATAAAGAACCTTGAACATGTATCCTGACACACACACACTTTTCTGTTTATGTCTATGTATATGGTTTGACTTCTTTCATCTACCTTGTCTACAATTGATTAAGAAAAAGATGAAATTCATCATGCCAAATCTAAGCTGTTTTTGGAACATTTACAACACATGTATTGTACTGTATAAAGGTATGGCGGTTTGATTCCCAGCCGTACTCCTGTCCTGCAGTTTCTCACCTTGCTCTGATCCTCCCATGCCTTTCAGCACGGCTCTGCGTCCGGTGCTCTCGATCAGAGCCTGCACCTCTGCAGTGGTGAGAGTGGAATCCACCAACACCTCCTCCTTACCCACATCCACACTGACAGACGTCACTCCTGCAAACACAATCATAGCAGTGATACATTATCCTCTGATATATATAAACAGACAGAGAAATTACAAAAACTATATAAATATTAAAGAGAATAGTCCAAGCCACTCATCAAGCAACATGACAAACATTATCTGAAATGTGAGGCTGCTTTTCTGCCTTATGCGGAATAACATAAATTGAAAGCCTTTTCTATTTTATCACTCTTATGAGTAGTTTCTCTTCCTGTCGGTTGCACTGAAGTCAACATTGGATTTCTGGGGGAAAGATCGAAAACATTTGGTAAAAGTTAAAAAGGTGTTATGCTGATTTCCAGGATGATTTCCCTAGCTGCTCAAGCTGCTCTACACCATAATTCATCCATCCATCCATCTTCTCCCGCTTATCCGTGGTCGGGTCGCGGAGGTAGCAGTTCCAGCAGAAAGCCCCAAACTTTCCTTTCCCTGGCCACATCAACCATCTCTGACTGGGGGATCCCAAGGCGCTCCCAGGCCAGCGAAGAGATATAACCCCTCCACCTGGTCCTACACCATAAACCCAAGTGGATATTCATTCATAAAATAAGAAACATTACTGTGCATGTGTCTTGCATTTAATACTTGCCTGTAGACATATGGCATCTCCAGCTGATTTGCTGTGCACACAATATGTCTACGTAACACAAGTTTGGGATTCAATTAGGATTACAAAATTTGAAGTGTAACAATTGAAAGTTATCACTGACTATGACTTGTGCCAAGTTACACAGTTCTTTTGAGTTGACTTCCTATGAACATGTTAGGGACTTGTAAAGGTGGAACATGTTACTTGTAGATTTAGACGCCAGTGTAAAGCTCTTTACTTGCTAGAAAGGATTCTATATAGAGAATTGTGCTTTGCTGAGTAATAAGACATGCTACAATTTGCACTGGAATGCATGAATAAAGTCCAACAGCCATAAACTAGTGACAGATAAAAGCTCTCTGACATGCTTTGTTATGGTCATTATTTGTACTATTTCAGATAGCCTATGCCGTTTTCAAAGAGCCAGATTCAAAGTGTCAGTTCCAGATGACTAAGAGCAGTTACTGTACAAAGAGTTGTTTCAGAGGCTGTAAACATGCATTAATAACGTAGGCCTTTGAATGCTTTGATACCTGGTTTTCCCTCCAGAGCAGCTCTGACTTTAACTGCGCAGCTCTCACATGTCATCTGCACTGCAAACTCCAGCTGAGGAAGAAACATAATAATGAAACACCTGTTATGCAGCTAATAATATAAGGATAATGTACAATCCGTGACAGCAGTGTAGAGATAGCTCGTTATATAACACAGCCGTTTCAGCAGTTAGAACACGCAACAGCAGCTGAATATGGCATGTTTTTGTCTCGAATGTATTATTTTAACGGGTATTTTATTGTAATACAGCCTTAAAATATGATTAAGAATTGCTGTCTAACCTTGGTTGGCCCCACAGAGTCCATTTTGGCACTGCACGTCGCTGCTTGGGCAATGCAAACCGAATTAAATAGTAAACTTCCCACTTTTCTCGAAACGGAAGCGAACCAGCTGTAGCTGCTGATGGGCGCCGCCATGTTGGTGAGGTCACGTTGACGTCACAGCACGTTACCGCCGCCACGCGCCCACTACCTGCAACCGCAGCTGCAACCATCAGTTTTGACTTTTGTAGAAGAATAATGACTTTCTCATGTTTTTATTCCCAATATACAATGATATGGATAACTTCTCATATAATGTCACAGCATATTTCGTTTTTTATATAATAATATCATTATGTATTGTCATATAGTGCATTTTTTGAGAACTTGTAATCAGTGGCGTAGCCAGGAATTATTGTGTGGGTGGGCCTGGAGAAATGTAGGTGGGCCAGGGGGAGACTTATTAAGCGTGGGGTCTGAGCTGAAACTTCATTAATGATTTTTGAATGCACTAATTGAACATAAGCATAAACTAGCAGTGAAAACAAAAACATAGGCACGGCTTTAACGGTACTTTTATCGGTTTTTTTGGAGAAAAAAAGAAGGTAAACGAACTAACACAAATTGTGAACAAAACTATCATTGCTTTTTATTTTAATTAAATACATAATATTTCACATCAAAAGAAACAACAGTGTTTTAACAAATCGTATTAAATAATGTGATGACAGAAATGTAAACAGAATAGCCGAAACTTTAACAAAATAAATAACTCTAAATTACCTCTAATCATTAGCCCATGTTTGTATAATTGAGTTAACTCCGTGTGTTGCTGCTAGCATACATAACACCTGACGTGGAAAAGTTAGTCGTGGATGGGGCTACAGCGCTACTAGAAAGACAGTCGTGCACAATGTTTAATTGTCTGAGAAAGAATAGTTTATGTGAAATATTCCATGGGAAAGTAAGGGAGTGAAAATAGGTGCAGAGATAAGATTGACTTTGCCCCTGTTGAACTTCAGAATGTCACGTTCTGGTCAGAACTCTGATTCGCTGTATTGGACCCGACCAGAAGTGAATCCAACCAGTAGAAACACCTGGGGGAGTGAGCAGCTCACACAGCTCCTCCCCACGGACTCTCTGATTCGCTTCGGAGTAAAATGGGAAGGAAGAAGTCAACACATCTCCGCCCCAAAATATAAATATGAATACTGTTGTTTATGCATGTAAAATGCTTCTTGTTTGCTGACTGGCTGGTCCCGATACCTGTATCGCACAGCAGTGGAAACCTGAAGTCCGGAGTACTCTGTAAAACTTGTATACGTGTTTTGTTTCTTACCAGTAAACTCAGATTATTGTTATAACCTTTAATTCCGGTGTTTTCAATTCCTTTCTTTATTTATTTAGAATCAGCCTCATCTAACGAACCGCGCGTAGCGGAGAGGGGGGCTTTCAGCCACCACCTAGGTGTTTTGCTACAACAGTACCCATCCCTACACATGACTGGCTCGGCGGCCACAGGTTGTTTATCCTTGACACAGTGGGCACACTGAGAGTTTTCATATTCAGCAAATGTGTACACGCTTCACTGCAGACCTCAAGAAGAAATAAGACTTTCGTTAACTCACGGCAAAACCTACTTTACTTACTAATTTACTCACGGTAAAAAAATGCACTCCCTATTCCATTGTCATGAAGGTGGAATCTAACTATATCCAGAATAAGTTTGATTGGATCCAGCTAGAAACATGTTTATTTCTGCTGTAAAGTTGGGCATTTTAACATGGGGGTCTATGGGAATTGCTCCTTTCTGCATCCATCCCCTGTTGGCCACTAGAGGAACTGCAGTTTGTGGCACTTCCTTCTGGGCTTCCCGGCTCTGCGCTATAACGCGCTGATTGGCTGTGGGTGGGCCAGACGTGCATGTGGGTGGGCCCAGGCCCACCCGGGCCCACCCACAGCTACGCCACTGCTTGTAATAGTTACACTAAACAGAAAGGTATGTGAACAGTTTAGTAAATAACATGTCTTAAAAATCATAGCACAAGGCCATAGTTGAAACATTTCTGCTTATGTATTCCACCAACGTTTCACATTTCGGAAAGATTGCTTTTATGCAACCGTGAAACAAAAAGTAATCAATGGCTGCCTTTAGATTGTGCCAGTAAGACAATGAAAATCAGTTATGTAGGCTTATAAAAGGGCCGAATAATGCAAAGTATACAATGAGACAAACTGCAAGGACGAGCAGCATATGCGTTCGGTTTTTCAGAAGATTGTAGCGTATGGAAAAACCACCATGAAGGTTGCGAGCAGTAAAAGTGATTGCTTGCCTCATTATGTGCTGGCCTCCAATTCAATTTCATAATGTGTATAGATTATTGTTACAAAGTCGTTCTGCAGATTAGAGCCCTGGGTTCAGTATGCGAAGGAACACCACTAAGCTGATGACCTGTGTGTGTGTGTGTGTGTGTGTGTGTGTGTGTGTGTGTGTGTGTGTGTGTGTGTGTGTGTGTGTGTGTGTGTGTGTGTGTGTGTGTGTGTGTGTGTGTGTGTGTGTGTGTGTGTTTGTGTGTGTGTATCTATACATCCCTATCATATCTCTTTTCATCTCCTTTGAAAGCTGAACTAAGCCACAGGAGGTAAAGCAGCAGATGACCGTGATGTGGCGGAAAAAATCTGGGTCGCAAGTCTAAAATAAAAGCTCCTAGATCGTCAACTCAATTCGGGATGATGAGTTTTTAGAGAGTGACATACATCTGCGTTGTGCATGTGGGTGTTGATCCAGAAACGAGTCCTCCTTCATCACGTCAAAACACACACCAAGAGGCCGATGTTTTACACAGAAGAAAAGCCGAGTGGCAGCTCAGCCAGAACACAGCTCCTTCTGTGTGTGGCGGCTCATTGGCTTTGACCTTTGACCCCCTGCTCGGTAATATGACCATAGGCTTTAAGAGAGCCTGAGCCAGTGTTCACCGACTCAAAACACTACCTTGTGTGTGTGTGTGTATTGAGCTTTCACACACATTGTCCACAGCAGCGCTTAATTTATTCCGTACATGGGAAACTGTCGAAAACCTTTGCCCTTATGTTGATCCCCCTCTCCGTTCAAAGGAGTGGAGGGAGAGTGCGGTGACACCTGAGTCCAGGGGAGGGGGATTTCATTAACACACACACATACACACATATGTACGTACAGAAACACACACACACACACACACACACACACACACACACACACACACACACACACACACACACACACACACACACACACACACACACACACACACACACACACACAGGAGATAACACATAACTGGAAAGCAGAGTGAAACCTAATCAGTACAAATTCAGAGGGAGGAGAGAAAGGAGGAAGAGAGGAGAAAGTAGGGATGGAGGGAAATGAGGAAGCAAAAGAGGTTGACAAAGAGGTGTGTGTGTGTGTGTGTGTGTGTGTGTGTGTGTGTGTGTGTGTGTGTGTGTGTGTGTGTGTATAGCAGTGCTGACAGGAAGCGTTGACAGCCCTGTTTGGAACAGTAGAGGTTTTATCTGTACTAAATGAGGCACTATCCCCACCCTCCTGCCCCCTCCACCCCATTAGCACTGACCCAGAGTCTGTTTTTTTTTCCTTATTATAAACTTCAAGAAGGTGAAGCGGCTCTTGTTTCAGCGACCGATGAAGCTAAGGCAAGCATATCGTTATTTTTAGCGCGGGGGAGATACAAAGTCCTTTACACTGATGCAAAAAGGACTGAAGTGTACCCAACAAAAACACAGAACTTATGAAATATTCATGAGAAAGGGAAGGTTTTTTGTCAAATGCTTTTAAGACCAAGTTAAAGGACAATAACACAGATGGTTAATGAAGGCTAGAGAGGGCTAAGCCTCTCCCTAAATTATTGGTCCATTTCCATTGTGCATAAAAGTCTCATGTACAGGCTACAATATATCATGTTGAGCGACTCCAAATATCACCCGGTAGTATTGGCTAAGGTTTTTATAATCAATTAATTCAGTTAATTATTAGATGACTATTATGGTTATTTTCAGGTTCACATTTGTATGTTGTGCCTCTACTGTGACATGTCTCCATGCTTTAATGTTCAAAAAGCTCTTTATTTTTCTCATGCTGCCTGTGCTGCAGCACCTCTTTGTAGTGTCCCGTCAATTATGTTAAGTTGTGTCATGTTTGTGATTGTCATGTTCATGTTAGTTTAGTTTATGTTCCACTTCTTGTTTTATTTTTGTACTCACCTTGTCTCATTCCAGGTCCCTTTACTTCCTGCCTTGGTTCTTTTTCCCGCCATCGTCAGCATCTGCCCCGCCCCTGATTGTTTCCACCTGTGCCCACTTACCTCATGTATATATTGTCCTGTCTCCCCTTGTTAGTTGTCGGTTCGTATTGTTCGTTCGTTCCATGAAGCCATATCCAAGCCATCATTTAAAGGACTCAGTGTTTTGCCTTTTATCCTCCATTGTGAGCGCTTTCATTTCATTTCAAACCTTTATTTATCCAGGTTGTATCCCATTGAGATCATTGATCTCTTTTTCAAGGGAGACCTGCTCAAGTAGGTTCCACATGAAACATTAAAAACATAACAGAGCAACAAAAGGACATCATACAGTATCATTACAGGGATTACAATTGACATAACTATCCACATGCACAGGTACCAACAGCTTCCGATTCAGTAGCATCCAACCGAGCTTTAAAAACATTTAGTGGCAACAGATTGCTCAGTTTCCATTTTAATTGAGCTTTGCTTTTGACAGTTTGTTATATCCTCTGGAAGAGTGATTTTGTTTTTGCAAAGTAAAGATTATTTTTCTTCCAACCTTTTTTGTCTCTGGGTTGTGCATTTGAGTCCTCATACTATTGAGTCAAGAATCCTAACACTCTTTTCACCCTCAGTCTGAAACCAGAGCCCAGTCTGCTCTGATTGGTTAACTGACTGGCTCTGTTGTGATTGGGCAACCGCTTAGAGATGTCCCTCACCTTAGCCTATCACGTACAATGTGTGGGTGCGCTAGCCAATAGAAGCGCAAGTGTTACGTTGTGATGTCATTATGTTAAGGAAGTAAACAAAGGAGTCCAATGGAGGCATTTCAGGCAGGGGGGAGTGTGTGGGAGATAAACTTTGGGAACACTTTGGAATTGTAGCCTGTGCAGACCATTTAAATGCACAAAAACCTATATAAC